TTTTCTTAATTAATCAACGTGTTCATTAATCAATGATTTTATTGTTTTCTCCAAAAGGAAATCAGATCATTCACTATCCTTCAAATGGTCAAAATCCAAAAAAATTGACAGCGAAATAAAACGTTTTTGAACCCGGTCTCGTGACCAGAAAATATCATTAATATTAACACGTTGTGTGACGAGCCCTTGACAATCCGAGGTAAAGGTTCCAAGACAAGACCATCAGTTTTTGGTCATTTTGAACGGTCCGAAACGTCAGAGCAAGATAAAGACCTAATGGTAGACAGCAGTCGACACCACTCAAAAAAACACCTAAAACGAAACACGATTTCCTTTCAGTCAAGTATCTGTTTCGCTCAATCCTGACGTTTTGAACCAAAACAAATAAGTTTTTCAGTTTACAAATCATGACTAACAGATAGCAATTGGGTTTCGCACGATACGGAGACGTAAAAATAACCACCACCATTTATCATTTTTGGAAACGAAAATATTTCTGTATATAATATTTTCCTTTTATTAACAAATTCAAATAATTTGCAAAATCATTTCAAACCAGCGCAGCAAAAAAAAAACGACTCATCACAAAGTTTTGCCCTTTGATTTTGATCTCTTCCTTCCCCAAAAATTTAGTCGAGAAACAGGACGTTTAGAAGATTCATGATTCGTTACCGTAACTGAAACTGAATCTTCTTTACAACGAATTATTTTCCGTGCAACCAAACATTTCAAAATTGGGTAAAGTCAGGACCGGGAAAACTCTATAGTAATAGTATGTGACCGCCAAATTAAATGGCAAATCATATTAATGCGAATCTTAGGTTTTTATAATTATGCGAATCAATTTTCTGAACACATTTAAAAAATTATTAATAATGCGAATCGAAATCAGCCAAGGACATATGAAATTTATCTTTATTAATTAAAAATTCCAAACACCAAGTAGCTTCAGCTTCTAATGCTCTTTTAAACTCTTGTAGTTCAGATTTAGAAAGTTTTCTTCGAGAAAAAGATTTGATTGCAGGAAATTTTTGAGGAAAAAGTTGCTTTGCAATTATTTCAGGTTTTTTACCACCTCCAAAATTACCTGGACTATTTATAACATAATCAATATACTCCAAATCACAAAAACCCTTGCATATACATGTATGTAGATTTTGATCTATGTTATTATCATCAATGATATGTTCTTCATGGTCAATTTTTGTAAAGAATGCTTTGACACTAGGTTGATTATTTATTAAAAAATTACAATTATTACTCTCGGAATGTCTTTTAAAGTTTGCAACTTGATAATTGATTCCAAGTGAAATAATGTGACCACATTTGCAAATAACTTTTTTAGCATTGACAAATTCTTGAAAGTTAGGGTATGTAGTAAAATGTCGTTGGCGTGAATCATAAGGAATTCTTTTACTGTTTTTTAGTTTGAATTTTCATTTTTTTTTTTATTAATAATGCGAATTATAGTGTAACCGATGACATTTTTCATTTCTCTATGTTTGCGAATTCAGTGTAACAGATGACATTTTTTCCTTCGAATTATATAAAGGCGGTGACCTTTTCCATTTTCCATTAATCGAACCTATAGTGAGGCGGTCACATTTTTTTTTTTAAAAGTACTTTCGAATCATAGTGTTGGCGGTCACATTCAATAGAGTTTTCCCGGTCCTGTAAAGTCGTTAGATTAGGAAATATATAAAAAAGAGAAATATTACACAAAATATAAAAAATTTACACAGAAATTACGACATTTACTAAGGCACCGTAACACGACAACCTTTTCTTCTTTTATTTATTCTCAAAAAAACCATTTTCTCCACTCTATTACAAAGCCAAATTTTATATTTTATAAAACATTTATTTATAATGTCATACAATAAACTGTTATCATTGTTATCACCAGAAAGAAAGGAATTTGTATTTAAAATTTATAATGAAATGAAAAATAATGCTAATGTTAATTCTTATGGAGAAAGTAGAAATGATTATTTTTTTTCATTGGTTGAAAAAAAAAAGGAGCTTTCTGAAAATGAAAAAAAATATTGTAAGGAATGGCTTATTTACAAATTTGAATCTAAAAAAGCAAAAAATAAACGGGGAAAATCAAAAGAGTGCAACAAGTGCAAATTGACAAGATACTCTGATAAATTCTGTGAAAGTTGTATCAGTTTAAAATTACAGAGTCTTTTCACCACTTGGACTTCTGGAAATAACATAATTGACAATTTTATTCAACAATGTCAAATGAAATCATCTCTGCCAAATTATATTTTAGAATGGATACCTTTTGAGCAATTTGTAAAAGTAACAAAGTTGGCAGAAGGTGGATTTAGTTCAATTTATAGAGCTACATGGACAAGAGGAAGAATAAATGATTATGATGAAAATAAAAAGGAGTTTGGTTATTCAGAAAGGCAGAAAGTAGTATTAAAAAGTTTAAATGATTCAAGTAATCCAGGAAAAGGTTTTTTTGATGAGGTTAGTAGTTGTCATTTAAAACAAAAATAAACAATGCTCTATTATACAATATTAATTGATTTTATATTTATTTCAGGCAATAAATTATTGTAAAATTAAATCATCAATGATTGTTCCTTGCCATGGTATAACTAGATTCCCAGATAATGAAAATTATGCACTTATTTTAACTTATCATTCAAATGGAAATTTAAGGGATTATTTACAAAAAAATCATTTAAATTTAACATTAAAAGACAGAGTTACTATCATTGATTATTTATGTGATGGATTACACCAGATACATAAAAAAGATTTAATTCATTGTGATTTACATAGTGGTAATATATTAATAGGTAATAGTGGTAGTTGTTATATTACAGATTTGGGATTATGTGGACCAGTTGATGAAATGTTATCAAATAAAGTCTATGGAATTATATCATATGTTGCACCCGAACTACTTAGAGGCATAATCAATGCAAAGAACACAAAGGAAACAGATATTTATAGTGTTGGAATGTTAATGTGGGAAATATTTGCAGGTCATCCACCATTTGATGATAGAGCTCACAATCATTGTTTGATTTTTGATAT